CTAAGCGTCTATATTCTTTGTCATTACTTTCCAGACAATAGTTAAAATGTCAAATCTCAAGACTTTTTAATTTCTATAAAGTTAACATTTTGGTTCGTTTGCTACTTTTCTTTTAAGTATAGTGTTTTTTACGATAATACCATCACAATTCAGTGTTCTATTTTTATGAAATATAGTTTAAAAGTATATATTAAGGATATTCTAACCTTACTTTATTGATGCATGCATTTTATTGCTATTTTTATAAAACAACATACTTTATTATTTACAAAACCTTGTAAACTTGTTGTAGTAACTATTAGAATACTTAGATATTGCAAAAAGCGGAAAGATTCTGTAAAAAAAATTAAAAAATAACGAAAAATACAAATTATCCACACTAAACAACGTTTGTTTGGAAAGTGAAACTGACAGATGTCAATCAAATCTACGTCATCACTCCTGCGGTCCATTCCTACTTCTCAGTATTAATAGCTCAAATATACTACTATTGCAGGCTTCTTGCTTTGAAAAAAGAAGAAAAATTCTAAATAGTGGAAGTGTATACTAAACCCATAAAATTCTCCCTGTATATTTAAAATATAATATTTATTATTATTATTGAGTTAATGCCTCGACAACTAAGATCATTGGCATGGTACATTCAGGTACCTAGTGTAGTGTGTGTGTGTGTGTGTGTGTGTGTGTGTGTGTGTGTGTGTGTGTGTGTGTGTGTGTGTGTGTGTGTGTGTGTGTGTGTGTGTGTGTGTGTGTAGAGTAATTGTCTTGATACTTAGCAAAGTCGACGTCATTGTCTTTGCTAAGAGACGCTAATTGTATCCGAACGTCTGCGGTCCCTCCGGTGAGTACCGATCGCACAAGGATAGAAATTATTTTCATTCATTAATTTTAATAAACGAAAATTTCTCCACCCAGATGAGATGCGAACTCACGACCTTTAGGTTTAAAGGTAGGCGCTCTTACCACTGAGCCACAGAGGGGGTAAAAAATAATATTTGAGTTGCTACAGTTTAACATTTTGTAGGAAATATTTGTATTATTCGCATTGTTTATTTTATTTAATATAGTTTAATTGTTTTATTATTTTTGTTTAATTCTTTTGTTAGTTCTGTTTAGTGAATTAGTTAGTTCTATTTTAAATTTTATTATTATGGATATTCAAAGTTTTTCATTTGTTGCATCAGCTAATACGTTTTAAGTTTTTCTTTAACAAATAAGATAAAATGTTCATTAAAAGTTAATATTTTTAGATGAGTAAGGATGCTGTCAAATTATAAGGTAATGAAACTGCACAAAGGTTTATTCAAAATGTTTAAAATCTTCAAATTTTTTTTGTAATTATTTGCCGAATGAAAACTCTGTTGAGTTAAGTTGATCATTAAAATGTATTCATCGAATTAGGTAAATGTTGCAGATGTTCTTAATAACAAAAATATTTCAGTTAATATCCAAATGTCAAGTCTCAGAAAAAAGTGTGCGTAAATATAATGTTGGGCCTAATAAAACCCTCACTTTAAAAAAGAAGAGTCGCAAAAGGAAATTAAAGACTGACTTAAATGAAAACGGCGTCAAAAATTAAATTCGCTAAATAAAAAGAAAGTAAGTTTCTATTATATATAAAAAAATATATTATTTAAAAAAGTTGGGCTAATTTAGTTTATATCGTTAAGTTTCGCCAAATGTAGGCAACCAACTTAGAATTGTTGGTATCAATTAGCTGGAGTTTCTTGAGAATAGGTTCAATAAACAAATAAATATTAATATTATCCAGCTAATTTATTATTTTTTTAAAAGTGATGATAATAACGCTAAATAAGCAATATTTTAAATTATATATAATCACAAAACGTAGTTAATATTGTGTTATATAATCCACATAATAAAGTACGTGACTTAAAAAGAGTAAAATCCCGGGTCGCCTAAAACTATGTAGTTTCTGATAGGAATAATAGAATATTAGTATGTTTGCAAAAAAGGTCGACCAAATACTCTAATGAAATAAGCTATTAGCACGTGTGCGTATGTACTGCAGCCTTATATAGTGTAGAAAGCCCTAAACGTATGAAAGTTGGAGAGAGGGCGGTCCTAAGAGGTCTAGGTATAACCGTTGATTGAATAACCCAGTATAACAGAACTAAAAATGGTTGGTTTGACAACCTTTTTTTATACTATATCGAAACCATCATACCTCCATTTTTTAGACGGTAAAAAATACTTGGTCGGAGACAACTTAGCTAGTCACCAGTCACTTGATATCATACAAACGTGTTCAGAGAACAATTTTCATAACAGAAAACTCGGCGCATCTAACACAGTCGTTACATGTAGCATTCAGTTTGCCAATGATAATTGCATGTCAGGCGATTATTGCTGATTGGAAAACAGGACCTGGCATATATGAAGCTACTATACAAAAGAGTAAGTTACCTAGTTTACTAAAAAAACTATGTGAGCCGTGTTAATCAGAGAACATAATTGCTGCTTTTAGAAAATGTGGTATTTTGCCTCTTTGTCGCAATAAAATACTTAAGATGTTAGCATCTTTAGATGACTCAGGAGCCATAACTCCAATAGCCACAACTTCTGTCGCTACTATTAACGACACTTTCAAGGAACTGCTGAAAGCTCTTAGACAACCAGAAGCAACTGCACCTCGCAAAAAACGTGTGAAAGTTTCTCTTGAGCATGGAAAAAGTGTTTCTATGGCAGATTTTCCAATTCCAGAATATACAGTTTAGGTCGGACCTACCGGTGATGCTAGTACAAGCACTGACAATGAGAGTTCTTGTACGTCTAAAAATAAAATAATCAGCAGGTCAAAAAATAAAATATGGAAAAGTAAGAAAGCATAAAAATGTTAATTCCTCATCTAAAAAAAAAGTCATAAAACTGTACTGACGGCCCAGAAATTATAAAATGCGAGATGGAACACGCTATAAATATTGGTAAATTTAGAAAAGCTTGTGGTCCAGATGATACACCAACTGAGTTGATGAAACTAATAGAGGGTGGTAACATAAAAAGAGTAGTAAGACTTTTTAATTCAATACATAACACAGAAGTAATTCCCACAGATTGGCTGAAATCCATCTTTGTCGCAATACCTAAAAAACAAAATGCGAGAAAATGCTCAGAATATCGATAAATTACCCTAATGAGCCACACTCTTGAAATTTTTATAAGAATATCTCAGAACAGAATTAGACGGAAATGCGAAAAAGATCTCGAAGATACCCAATTTGGTTTTAGAAATGCTATGGGAACCAGGGAGTCACTTTATGCGCTTAACATCCTATTACAAAATGCTGTAACCAAAGAAAAGATGTATTTGCATGTTTCGTGGACTTCTAAAAGGCATTCGATAACGTACAGCATGTAAAATTAATGCAAATACTGAAAAATATCGGAATAGATGACAAGGATATTCGTGTCATTAAAAATTTGTACTGGAATCAAACTACTATCGTAAAAATTGAAGATAACTACATCGATGAAATCTCCATACAACGAGGGGTCAGACATGGTTATATTTTATCGCCAAAATTGTTCAATGTTTACTGTTTACTTGGACCAGTTATTTAAAAAGGCACTTAAGAGACAACCATATGGAATAAACTACTTAATGTGATTAGATATGCAGACGATACAGTAATTCTCTCAGATAATATTGAAGGTCTCCACATTCTGCTTGATCGTATTCACGAGGTAGGAGAGGAAATATACATTAAAATAAACTAAAAAAAAACAAATTTTTAGTGCTTGGTCGTGACCCACATCCTGATGCAAAGCTTCAATTAAACGGAGTCCAAGTTGAGAAAGTTCACAAAATGACATATTTGGGAACTGTGATAACGGACCAACTAGATCCAGACATAGAAATAAAACGTAGAATAGCAATGACTAAAACTACTTTTATGAAAATGAAGTCATTTCTTTGTAATAATCATCTTAGTCTAAAACTAAGACAAAGAATGGATAAGTGCTATGTTTGGTCCGTACTTTTGTATAGAGAAGAAGTGTGGACGCCAAAAGTATCGATCATGAACAAATTTGAAACATTGGAAATGTGGGTTCATAGACGAATGCTGAAGATACCTTGAACAGCAAGGAAAACTAATGAAGAAGTATTAAGGAGCGTCAACAAAGATAGAGAACTGCTAAAGCCTGTTAAACATTGAAAAATGTCTTATCTGGGACATATAGTAAGGGGAAGTCGATATAAAAGATTATAACTGATCCTTGAAGGCAAAATAGAGGGCCGTAGAGGTGTAGGAAGAAAACAAGTTTCTCGGTTAATAAACATTCGTGAATGGATGATTCGTGAATACCAAATGCAGGGCAATTATTCCATATTGCAGAAGATCGAGAAGCCTTCGCAATGGTGATCTCCAACGTCGGATAATTCTGATATGGCACACGAAGAAGAAGAAGAAGATGAAAAATTTGTGATATCTGTGCCGGGATCAAACTCAGGCTATCCGTTACTTTCCGCGTTACTGGTCAAACAGAGGCGGTAGAAAAACCCCACATTATCGTATTATATTTTTTAGGGTTTTCAACACACAATAGAAGAAAAGCAGTTTCTCTCTGCTCCAAGATTAAAAAACTTTCCGAAAATTCTCCTATTTCTCTGAAACACCCTGTATTTATGTGATAACGTTCTCTAGTTCGATAAAATTCTTTCTAGCTTAAAAATTTCTCCCCACATGATTTTTTTGTAATCCTATAAAACCATAGGGGCATTTCTATCTTTATTAAAATAAAACCATACAAGTTGGCCATACATCCTTCCAGTGAAAACCCATATCAGCGCGAGACTTCCACCACGTCCCGCGGAGTTCTTCTCCGACGAACCGAAGGAAGCCCCGAGCTACGTCGACGACGCTGATGTCGTCTGCCCGCGGCATTTTCAGTTTCAGTCACCAGCCAGCGGATCAGTTCCTCTTCCGTTCGCCATCAACACAGGTACGTGCCACACAGATCCAGTTCCAAACGTCAACATGAGGGAAATCGTACATTTGCAAGCAGGACAATGCGGAAACCAAGTTGGTGCTAAGGTTAGTTTTTTTTTTAATATTTAAATATCCAAAAGATATTAATTATTATTTTTTAAATAAATATTGTTGCAAAAGTTCGGACTGTAAGCCCGAAAAATCATTTATTATTTAAAAAGCCGGTGTAATTGAATTTTTGAAAATGTTTTTTTACTGAAATTGATTTTACTGTTTTGGGCCAGAAGAGGTCATGATGTCACTCCATCGATATTATCTGTTTTCTATGTTTGTATTTGTATGTTGCTATTTGTTAAGTTTGGGTTCGTTGTTCGCTTAGTTCAGGGATTGATTTCGTTTTGTTGGATTGTTTAGGGAAACATATTTTTACTTTATAAGAACTAGTTTCTATTTTAAATCATAGAGATATTATTGTATTTTAAAAACCATTGAGAGATAATGAAGTTCTTATTTGATCTTTGATTTAGCTGGCTTTGTTTTTGTTGCTGCTCCAGTATATTTTATTTCCTGTAGAGAATTTTCTCTAATCCCAGTATTTATTGATGTAATATTTGGTTATCTTCTTCTTAGAGTGCCGTCTCCCTACAGGAGGTTATCAATCATAACGGCTATTTTTATTTTTGAACTTGCGGTTCTAAACAAATCAATCGATCTGCGTAGATTCGTAGATACCAATCACGTAGATTCTTCAACCATGAGTTCTGCCTTCGGCCAACAGATCTTCCTTGAATCTTTCCTTGTATTATGAGTCTCAAAATTTCATATTTTGGTCCCTCATCACGTGGCCTTGATATTTCAGTTTTCTGGTTTGTATAGTGGTGGTTAGTTGTGTTTCTTTACCAACCCTCTCCAGTACTTCTTTATTTGTGATTCTACCAGTCCATGATATTTTTAATACTCTGAGGTATAACCAGAGTTCGAAATCCTCGATTCTTTTTAAATTGCATTTTTTTAATTTCCAAGTCACAGCTCCGTATAATAATATTGAAAATATAATAACAGTGAATGGTACGTAGTTTTATCTCCAAATTTAGATTTTTGCACGTTATGAGTGGCTTCATTCGTATAAATGTTGATCTCTATTCGCCTGTTTATTTCTGCAGTATGATCATTGGTTTTATTGATCAAAGGTACCAAGTATTGATATTTTTCCTACTTGTTCTATCACGTTACCATTGATTGTCAATTTGGTTACCTGCAGGTCATCAAAGGAATAGACAGAAAATATGTTGTGGTAATTTATCTAGACTTAATGCGATATTATTTTAAAACCAATCATAATTTATGTTGATTATAAGGTCATCGTTGTAGTATAAAGTTGAATATTAATTCTGAAGACAAAAAAATGTTTGTTAACCAAACTTCTGCAGTTCTGTTTGCATTTACTTTGTTTCTGTGGTTGTAAAATATTTTCCAACAAAAACTTTGATTCTTTTGGACCATCTTAACATCATTTGGTTGCATTGACTTTCTAAACTGGCCCAAACTAGCTTTCATTCCCCAATTCTCAAAGCTCCATCATCATCAGTTGGCGCTACAGCCCTTCGTGAGCCTTGGCCTGCTTCAAAACATTCTTCCATTCTTCCATATCGAGTGTCTGTCTTCTCCAACCCCTCACTCCAATCTCCCTCAGATCTTCCTGTACATCGTCCAGATATCTAAGTTTAGGTCGCCCCCTTCTTCTTCTTCCGACCGGCCTGTTTAGCATAGTTAGTTTAGTGGGATCACTCTCATTCATCCGCATAACGTGGCCCACCCACCTTAGGCGGTTTATTTTGATGGTCTTTACAATATCTGCATCACCAAAAAGTCTATAGAGTTCAAAGTTATATCGCCTTCTCCACAGACCCTGTTCGTTTACTCCGCCATATATGGTTCCCAATTCTTAAAGCTTCATCATTATATTCAAATACTTTATTTCTTCGATGTAAATATTAACTCTTTGAGGCACTATTTTAAAAAAGTTTTATCTATTTTGCGGTATAATTAATTTTGTTAGTAAATAAAACCTTTTTTGCACCAAAATGGTGTTTTTGACGTCAATAATTGTTAAAATAATAATGTGAACTGTTTGTTTAATTACCTCGATAATAAATTTTTGCCTTTTATTTTTATTTTATGATTATATTATATTCCTACGTGTAATTTTTGTCTAGACATGTAGAAATCACTTTAAATAAAAATTGAAAAACATAGAAAATGTTTTTTGAAAATTGAAAATCAAAATGTGGTATTATAATGGAGTAGTTTAGGAGATAATGCAAAAAAATTTTTATTTTGTTTAGCCCTTTAAAGGGCTGTAACTTTTTTTGTGTACACTTTTGTACTAAGGTCAATTGGATTCAGTCATAATTTATGACATGCAAACGTGCATCTTCTATGCCCCGTTTGCTTACATCTTGACGTTTCACTTCTTCGGGGTTTTCTACATTTTCTGCTTCGCCTATTCCGTTTCCATTTTATATAGTTTATTTATCTGCTTATTTATGTTATTTTTGTAGATTATTACCGTTAATATAATTATAATTTGTAATTATCGAGAATATGTAGAGCCTTTTACAAGTTTTACACTCAAAATAATAATTGTTAACGCAATCTTCTGCTGGTATATTTACTCTGACATAATTGACAATATTTAAGTTCTGTTATATTAAGGATAGGTAGATACTAGTAGCTATTTTAACATGTTTCTACTATCTAGTTAGTCCTAATAAATGGTTTTATGTAGTAGTTACATACCGTTCATACAACGTCAACCATTTAATTATTAATATAATAATGCGGGCCGAGTTTGCTATCGTTTTCTTTCTGAACTTTCTACAGCAGATAATAACATCAAAGCTAAACTAAAACTCAACTATATTTTTATCAATAATTTAAAATAGAAACAAAGTACTCGGCATAGTTTATGAAAAAATTGTATTTGACTATGAGCTTTATCGTTTTATAATACTTTCTGGTTAACATCTCGCTTCTAATTCAGTTTAAATGGTGATCATCAGTGTTTGTCAAGATATCAAACTTGCAGCTTTACCATCATCATCAAAACCTTTGTTTTTTTCTTTATGCATGCCCACTTTAGCTTTCCGTTTTTTCTCTTATGAGAATATTCAGGAGTAAAGAACATTCAACAGCTCTTCAAAGACTCGATTACCAGTGAAATAATCACCTATCAAAATTTGAATATTTCGAAGTGTCCTAATTTATGCTTTTTCATTTTGGTACCGATTGTGGATATAGCTATACTGATTTAAACATTTTTATTCTAATTTTATTTTTTTTCCTTTATTTTAACAATTCATCGAAGCATTTTCATGTCTGCAACGTGTTTTTGTTATTTTTACTCCGTTTTAATTGATTAGCATTCAGTGTCGTCTATCAAAGCTAATTAATGGCAGTTTTAAAGTTTATAATTTTTATTTCATTGAGTTTTTTCTACCACACAGCACAACAGTACTTTCCTTCCATTTCCGTCGCACTCTTACAGGTGTCTATTTTAGATACTTACTTACTTTCTATGTCCGGAACACCTACAGCTTTAACTTTTGTATCTTCAATGGTTAGCCACATAGTTGGCCCTATCATTCGCTTAAAATAGGTCTTCTTCTGTGCAGGTCTCTCTTGTCTCTGTGCATGATAGTAGATGGTGACTATTCTGAACCGCGCCACAGTCGCAGGTATCGTCCTCGTGGTATCCCCATTTCTTCAGGTTATTAGCAGAACGTGAAACGCCAGCTTTAGTCTGTTTAGCGCTCTCCATGTGGGGTATGGTAAATTGTGTCCAGCGGCCATCTCCTCTGGGAGGCAAAATGTGTTGTAGCTGACGCTTACCATAGATTTATTTGGCGCGTCTTTGGCTCTTCGGGAAGGGATCGTGATTTTTTTAGAATGCTTTTCCGAGATCTTAGTCTACTCGGTTGAAACTGGTGGTCATACAAGGTATGTCTTTGATCCGTCTCTTGCTTCTTTCGTTCGATCTCTGACGTGACCCGTTTTCTGATAGCAGATGGAGCAATTCCAGCTATATGGTAGACCTCTTCGATAGGTGTAAGTATCAGGCAACCAGATATTATGCGAACTGTTTTCTTTAACGCAACATCGACGTTTTTGGCGTGAGCAGAGTTTTCTCAAACTGGTGCTAGAAACTCGGCGGCAGAAAAATATAATGCTAAGGCAGAAGTGCGGAGAGTGTGTGGTTGTACTCCCCATTTTGTATTTGTTAGTTTGCGGATGATATTATTTCTGGCGCTTACTTTTTTCTTGTCATCTTAACAGTGATATCAATAAGGCAGAGTTCTATCCAGACGTACGCCGAGGTATTTTGGCGTCTCATTGTGTTCCAGCATCTGACCACCCTATTCCACCTCCAGTGTCCTTCGGACATGCTTGTTTCTAAGGTGGAAAGCATACACCTGGGTTTTTTTAGTATTGGGTTTCAGATGGTTTTCCTCATAGTATAGTGCTAAGTCTTCTAGGGCATCTGTCTTTTTTTGTCAAAAGGGGATAAAAAGATTTATCTTTTGAATTCCTGGCACCAGAAATTAAACTCAAAATTTGTCGACCGATTTATTGCTGTACATTTTTAAAACAGATCCTTCCTCAAATAGCTTTTAAATGAAAAACGCTCACTTTTCGATTTTTTAATCAATAATTTCCAATTATTTCAGTTCTTTTTAGAATCAATAATAATCCCTCGAATTCTTCGAACTTAGAACAAGTTATTTGAATAAATATAAAAAATATAACAATTCATGGAAAATATCCAGTATTTTTTACCTCGTCCTAACATTCATTTTGTGTGGTTTGAATACAAACAAACCATTTACCGACACGATATTTGATGATGTCTTTCGATAAACCAAATAATACTTTAAAAGAGTTGTTATATAGGAAAAACTGTTCAGTTTTTCTTGATAAATATCATTATGTACTAGTAATAAACAACGTAATACTATACAGGGTTGCACAATAATTTATTAAATGTAATAGAATAAGCTTTATATGGTTACAAATTATACTCCGAAATAGTATAGAGGAAGAAAATA